GTCGCGGCCATCATGCACGGTTTCCCCCCTTCCGCTTGCGCTACCTGTTGAGTTTGTGCAGAGGCCAGCGAGTGCTGCAGGTCGGTCGAGTATGCTCGGATGTTGTGTCTTGTGTTCAGGCGATAGTGGCAGGATGCACGTTCGCGACCTGGCTTTTGCAGTGCCTCCTCCTGGACCCCCTGGATGAAGTTCGGGCTCGGTTCCCCACGGTTCGGACCTACAATGTGGCTGATGATATCACCTGCGGTTCGGCGGGTACGTCGAGGACGGTCGCGAACCCGGTAACCGATGCGACCTTCTTGTTGTGTGATACCCTCGAGCGATTAGGCTTGCATATACCCCCGACCAAGGGTTTGATTACTGGGACCTCCAGGGACATTGAAATCATGGCTCGGGGCCGACTTCTGCGGTTGAAGTTTCGGGTCGACAAGACCGCCAGGAATCTGGGGGGTTTGACTACGCTGCGGGGACACGCAGGACTCCTGTGCAGGCCATGCGCTGGGAGAGCCTGGGGCCGAGGATTCGTCGATTCCGAGGGCTGCGTCCAGGCTGTGCAGCCATGCACCGGGTGGTCAAGACTGGCGGTAGACCAGCTACTTTTTTACGGCACCTCGGTCATACAGGATTCGGCCTGACCGAAGGAACGATAAATAAGGAAAGAAGCCCCTTTTTGCAAGTAAGTCTACGAATTCCGAAGGAACGGACCCGCGCGTCCAACATTTGCAAGAAACCAAGGGGTCTCGCCACAAAAAAGGTAGCGGAACGCATGCAAACCAAAAGAACGACCGAGTTATTCAAACCGGATCCTGTAGGCATGCCACGACGACGCTGATGAAGCTTCGTTCGATCGTAGGCCAGGCGACTTTTTGGCAAGGCCCGTGGCCGCTCCAAGACTTTCCAAATTCCTCCTGAGCCCCTCGGACCACCTGGACCCCGTCTTCCAGGCAAACCTCCTCCTCCTCGAGATGTGGCAACAAGCGGTCAATGAGGAGTGGGTCCCTACTCTTAGGATGGGCCTCTCCCCTTACAGGAGTGTCTTGGAGGAGAAATGAAAATAAGGAAAAGACATCCCCAAATAGTCGAACAATAATATAAAAATCGTCCCCAGACTATTTTTTTGACTACTTTTGAATAGTCCCTCTGTAGAGGGACATGCCCGACTTAACCCTACTTGTATCATGAAGTCGTGTGTGCAGGCGTACCCCACCTTAGCCTCCATCCATGTCCTGGGCCAAGGTCAGGGGCCCTGTTGGGGCTGTGGGGGGCCGCTCTGGACCGTCTGGGATGGCGTTTTGTGGGCTGAGACGTCTGGGGATCACGCCGAGGTTTTGCCCTGGACCCTCGTTCTTTCGGGAAGCGGGCGTTGACCAAGATGATAGACCACTCGACTCAGATGAGGCTGCTGGAGCATGTAGGGGCACCCGGTCCCAAGGACCCTCGAAGGATCATCCCTCCTCTCTTGGGATGCCCTCAGGAAGCTGCGGGTTGCTAACAGGAGCTCTTGGAGCCTCATGCTTGAGGAACATGAGAGCCGGAGGCCATCCGACGCAGGAGGCTCTGTTTCGCGATAGGCGTGTGCTCTCGCCGATGTGAAGGTCTGCAGCCTTGGAGGTCGGCACGCCCAATCATCGTTTTTTTGCACCCGCTGTGGCCTCTACCTTTCTCGCCGCGACCTTGACCTACCCCACTCCTCCTCCTCCTCCTCCTCCTCCTCCTCTCCTCCTCCTCCTCCCTCCTCCTCCTCCCCCTCCTCCTCCTCCTCCTCCTCCTCCTCCTCCTCCTCCTCCTCCTCCTCCTCCTCCTCCTCCTCCTCAGTGTGTGGCTGGAGTCCGAGGCCAGCCTGACTACGACTTCCTCTCCACCCGTGCCCCTTATCGGGGACCCAGGCCAAGATTGGCCTCATGGTCGAAAGGATGGAGATGGGAAAAAGAGAGCCCCCTGGAGGTCTTGTCGGTCATCCCTTGTGCATTTACGGTTCAGGCTTCGACGGAGACTCTAGATATTCAGTGAGAGCAGGCTGGTCCGTTGTTGAGGTGGATGAAACCAGCCAGGCCACTGGCACTGCGTTCGGTTCTCTTCCTCACCCTGTTCAGGAGGCTGGTACTGGAGAATTGTACGCCCTACTCTTGGCCCTCATCCTGGTCGGGATCGAACCAGACATCATCACCATCACCATCACCATCACCATCACCATCACCATCACCATCACCATCACCATCACCATCACCATCACCATCACCATCACCATCACCATCATCATCATCATCATCATCATCATCATCAGTATTATCATCATTATCATCATTATCATTATCATCCACATCGTCATCATCATTAGCATCTACACGGACTGACAGGCGGTCCACGACATCTGGGCCCGCGGGCCCGACCAAGATCTCAGGGAGTTTTTTGTGTAAAAAAGCTTCGGGGGAAAATTTGGAAGCGCGTTCTAGGTGCATGTTCAGATTGAGGTAGTGCGCGTAAGATCAAGGGCCACTAGTGTTGGTATAAGTGCCTTTTCTCCTCCACACTGGGCCTGGAGAAGGAATGTCATTGCCGACGGTTTTGCAAAGCGTGGGGTCCTTCTGCACCCTTGTAATCCTTGCCTGCAGCAGCGTCATAAGAAGCGCTCGGGAGTTGTCAGGGATTTTGATCTGTTGTTTCACGAACTTCGGGGAAATGCTCAATAAGCGGTCTTTCCAAGATGTGCAGAAATGTAAAGCACCACCCGCCCTAAACATGGCCCCTTCCAGCTCGTCTGCGACCGTAAGGGTCACGCGGAGAGGACGGGTCGCAAAGGGCGCGGGGGGGTGGAGGTGTGGACGCTCTGGAGCCTCGGGGTTTTCGGAATCGGCCGCGTGTGCGCTCTCATGCGCTGCGCTCCCGAGGCTCGCCAGGCAAGCCCACCCCAGCCAGAAGCTCTGGATCACGGGGGCCAGAGTTGTTCGGTGTGGAGTGTGGGCGGCCTTCGGGACTGCACGGCTGCGCCTGCCTGGGGTAGAGCGCCCCAAGGCGCCCCCGAACAAGCCAGCCGTGCAGACCCTGACGCAGCTGAGAGCGGGGAAGGATCCCGCAACGAAGAAGTTCGTGGGTCGGTGTGCCCTCCTCGTCGTGAAGCCGAGGCCGTTGCGCAGACGCCCGAGGCGCCTAGCACGGCCTTGGCGTCATCGTCTTCCGCGTTGACTCGCGTTCGCCCGCCACCGTGGTCTTTCATTTTCATCTGGGGGGACATGGTTGCGCAAACATCCACAAGATCGGCAGGAGGAGGAGGATCTCGGCTCGGATCGGATGAAGAGGAAAGGGTGGGGAAGAGGCAGGAGGAGCAGGAGGAGGAGGAGGAGAAGGAGGAGGAGGAGTCGGATGGGGACTGAGCAAGCTGTGTAGAGGGAGCAGAAGACGGAGGGAGACTGAGGAGGTTGCGGGTAAGGAGGAAAGATCATGTGATGGATGATGAGGAGGAGGAGGATGAGGAGGAATGCCATGAGGAAGGTTATTGGGGAGGAGGACGAGGAGGAGTAGGACCAAGAATGTGGGCAGCACCGTAATGACCGAGCACACGGTGTGAGGGAACATCGACTCCTCCCACGGGCCCGGCTTCTCATCCTCGGCATTGCTTTGACTTGCTTCGACCACCTCGGGGGCCGGAAGCGGGCCCGCCCGAGGCCCACACCGAGGAGAAGCCGGCCGCCCCGATCGTTTCCTGGCGCCGCCCTCGCCGCCGCCGCCTCCGCCGCCGCCGCGCTCGCCGAGGCGCGCCCTCGCCGAAGTGCGCCCTCGCCGAAGCGCGCCCTTGCCGAAGCGCGCCCTCGCCTTCCTCGGCCGCGGCCCCTCCCTCCGAGCTGGTTCGGGCGCGGTCGCGCCATCTTCCCTGGAAGGGGGGAGGAGGGAGGAGGGACGAGGAGGAGGAGGAGGTGGAGTTGGAGGGCGACAGGGAGGGATGATGACGTGTGAGGAGGAGGAGGGGGAGGAGGAGG